AATCCACCGCGGGACGAGAAAGCGAATCATAGAAAGTGGCCTCAGGATCTCGGACGGCGACGCTGACGGTCTTGATAGACCCCAGAAGGTGTGGTAAAGTCGCGAGGATATCGGAAAGGCGGAGGACGGAGGCCGCTATGTCGTAGACGGTGTGGCGAGATTCATCGGCCTTTCGAGGGAGTTGGTGTGGATTAAGGATGATATAGCCAAAGATCTGGGATTGTGCGGATGTACGAAATTTGTGGCAGACGAGGGCGAGGGATTTCAGGTCGCCGTGAGGGGAGGAGCTGAGAGCGAGACGCTCGGCAATCTGGTCGCAGAGCTCCTGGATACTGAGAACCGCGTCGGCCATCGTCCTCTCGGGAGACTTGGGTAGAGAAACCAACGAAGGAGTTTTTCAGGAGAGGGACAGGAGGAAACTGCGGATTCACACGTGAGCGCATGATCATTGATCACGTCATCGCGTCCCCAGATGTCAACAACGCGTGAATGTAGGACTTGTTGATGTCTGAGGGTAGGCGTGTAGCTCACAAGCAGACGTTTCTGGGGGGACTGATGCACATCCCATTGGGGAGCAAAGAGTAGCGGACCGCTGGAATTGCAGATACCGCAAAAGTATATTTATATCCCGGTCAAATCATGTTCCATTTTCATTCACAGGTTCCCTGGCGTAATGTCACAGTTAATATTGAATCCTGTACATGTCCTGCAGCCAACCTAATGGAAGGTGCGAATGGCCGCCGATCAGCGAGCACAGGAACTCCTGACAGTCTGTCAGGAGTGGTCTCTTCCGGGTTTACTTAATTCTAATCCCATTTCACAATTACGGTGTGTAACAAAACTGACGTTTGACTGTAGACGCAGTTAGAAATTACTTAGAAGTGAGTGTAAGCTCTTTTACTTGTGCTTCATCTTCTCATTGGTTCCATCACACTGTGCGGCACATCTATCTCAGACTATCTGAATCCTCCGAATCGCAAGAGAATTATGTAAATGGAGCTCCTCCCTGAGTGATCCAAAACCTCAGGAACCGCCAGAGTGGAGGATGGACATCTCTTCCCTGTCGCATCTCTTCCCTGTCATGTTCCTGGATTGATAGAAGATCCGACACTCTTCCGAGGGAAATTGAATCTGGAAGTGGAGTGAGAGATGTCGACTGTAAATAACCATGGGAGAACTCTGTATTCCCGTGCTCCCTGCCCATGTGGAAGAAGGCTTGAACACTGATATCAGGAACCACACCCCGCTGGATATAAGCCACTGCCAGGATAACATGCACATCCTTGTTTTCCCATCTTCTCTCCCCACCCTGAAACCCAGCTTGATAGAGAATGGCTCTGCCTGTAAGAGATCATATCCTATGCTTCTCATTATGTCCTCATGGGGTGCCAGTCCAGTGACAAGTCTGAATCAGCGGAAGTAAAAGACGCTTCAAGGATCTCCTCTAAACGTAATGTGGTTTCTCAAGGAGTCTGAAATCTTGCTCAATTTTTATAGCTATGGAGTTCCCAAGCCTAGGGAACTTGGACCATGAAATACAAGAAAATCAAAAGGCACTGGACATGACAACTGAGGATGACCCAAGCTACCCTGAAAGATTGACAAGGCTGGGGGTATCTCTTACCTTGCGACTTGACAGAGTGTATGACCCAGAGTGTGTCCAAGCTGCAGTCAATACATTGCAGAAGGCCAGAGGGCTGCTAGCTGAACGGCATCCACTCACTGTGGAGATACTGGGTAGTCTGTGTGCATGTTATGGCTGGAGATTCCAGAGACAGGGGGAGCTACAGGACCTGGAAGACTCTATTGAAAAATTTCAAGCTGTAGCCAATATTCTTACAGAAGCGGATCCAGGTCTGCCTAACTATTTGCGGCGCCTATCACAATCGGCCATGTTGAGATATGGGAGACTCGGGGAACTGGAGGATCTTGAATTCGCTATCAACACCAGTCAGAAAGCATTAGGTTTGGTCCCCAAGGACAGCCCTGTCCTCCCTATCGTGTCATTCTTGATTGCAAATGCCCTTTTGCTACGTTATAGCAGATTAGGTGACTTGGAAGATCTCCATGGTGGAGTGGAGAAGTTCCAAACTGCTATCAATGTCATATCTGATAGTGATCCTTCCAAACCACACTATTTACACAGACTGGGAGAAACCTATGGAATGCGGCACGTCAGACTCGGAAAATGATATGCGCGACATTGATTCCTCAATGCAATATTTTCGAGAAGCCTTGCAGTTGGCACCTGAAGGACATCCAGGTGTTCCTGCAATTTTTAATAGCCTGGCAGGGTCTTTTGCTCTTCGATATTCAAGGTCTGATAGCTTGGATGACCTTTCATCAGGCATGGAAGCAGCCAACACATCATTAAAATTGATGCCTCCAGATTACCCGCATATTGCACGAGGACATCACTGTGTTGCAGAATTGTGCATAATGAAGTATCAGAGATTTGGAAATCTGGATGACCTGAAAACCGCCCTTCATAATGCTGAGGCTGCAGTGCAAAAAATGCCTCAAGGAGACCCATTTCAGATACACTGTTTACATACGTTAGCAGAAGCATTCGAAATCCAATACACAATTTCTGGGAGCCAAGACGATCTGAATGCAGCATTTTCACATTACAGTGCCTCATTCCAATTGCCTAGCGACAATGTATCATTCTCTTGGACTGCAGCCTCGAAATGGGCATCTTTAGCACGAGAGCACAGCTCCATAGAATTATTGAAGGCATACAAAAGTATGTTCGCTCTTTTGCCAGAGACACTGTGGATAGGCAACTCATTATCTGCCCGTCAACAAGAGGTAACAAGATTTGACCTTGCCCAAACAACTTCAGATGCTGTCGCTGCCTGTGTCAAGCATGAAAATTTGGCACTTGCAATTGAGTTGCTTGACCAGGGACTAGCAACTTCATTTCAGCACATGCTACAGTTGAGACCAGATCTCGGCCGGCTCCCTGAAGCAGATGCCACAAAATTGCATGAAATTTCTTTGCAACTTTATGCTGGGGCATCCCCCCAAGCCCAGCAGCTGGCAATTGACAGGAATAAATTGCTCGCTGAAATACGCCAGCGTCCTGACTTTGAAAATTTCCTGCTGCCTAAATCTTACAGTGTTCTTCGGAAAGCCTCTCAAAATGGGCCTCTCATCATCCTCAATGCTCACAAAAATCGCTGTGATTGTATTATTCTCCTGAACCCTGCCTCAGATCCACTCCATGTCCAACTGCCAGATGTCACAGCTGCTGGGCTGGAGCATCAAAAGGAAATCCTCAAAGGCCTGCTGTCGAGATGCAATGTCAGGAGCAGGGACTCAGATTCCACTCGCCTCTTTGCAGGCCGTGAAGGATCTCGATCGAAATCGGTTCATGAGAGTTTTGAAGAAATGTTGGCATGGCTCTGGAAGAATGTTGTGGGTCTGATTTATCAGGCTCTGGAAAATGTGTGTCAATAAGTTCTTGATTTTCCCCCCATACTCATATTCCCCTTTCAGAATAATCTCTTTGATGGACGAGTGTGGTGGTGCCCAACTGGAGCATTTACGGGCCTTCCGCTCCATGCAGCAGCCCAATCCGATCAATTCATTAGCTCCTACACAGCGACCATAAGTGCCCTCCTTGAGGCACAATCGTCTCCAGAGTCAGAATTCCCAAAGCTTGGTCTGGTCGGAGTCACACACAGTGGGGGACGGTGGCAAGCAGCACTCCCAGGGGTGAAGAAGGAAATCGATGTTGTTTCTGCTCTTGCAGGAAGCCATATTTCCAAAAGCCTGGTTGGAGACCAAGCAACAGTTGATGCAGTAACAAAACAGCTCCAAAACTGTGAATGGGTTCATCTGGCCTGCCACGGGAAACAAGATTTACTTGACCCCCCGAAAAGCTGTCTTCAATTGTATGGAGGAACCCTGGAGCTGGAGACTATCATGAGGATGCCTCTGTCTAAAGCCGAGTTCGTATTTCTTGCAGCATGCCAAACCGCCATGGGAGATGCACAGCTGGTTAATGAATCTTTCCACTTGGGTGGGGGGTTCATCGCTGCCGGCTTTCGTGGTTCGATCGGTACATTGTGGTCCATGCGTGACAGCGATGGCCCTGCTGTTGCGGAAACGGTTTACAAATATCTGTTTCGTGAAAACGCCACACCGAAGGTGACAGATGCTGCGAAAGCTCTTCAGTTGGCTGTCAGAAAAATGCGGGATGAAGGAGTTCCTTATGAACGATGGGTCCCTTTTATCCACATGGGTATCTAGGCATCAAGGTGGTTGAAGTTGGGTGTATGTATAATTCCTGTAGTTTTTTGCATCACGATTTCTCTTCCATTTCTTTTTTACTATGATTTCGTTCCCAGAATCATGATGTGTAACTTATATAGCTATGCTGTTTCAAATGTTGGTCACTAAGCCAGTCCCTCGACATCGTTAAGCCTCGGTAAGTGTCGCTGACCCCAGCCGGAATACATGGAGTTGGGACTGTGCACTAAACCCGATTCCGATCTGTTGATGAAGAATACGTGCCTTTAAAGATATTCGTCATAATTTGAACCACATCCAATCGCTGAACGTTACAGACACATGCGAACGAATTACATGACGAGGATTTAAAGAGAGCCTCTCTGCGTCAAGTAATAAAACAGCGAATATCTCTCTGTGTTCGGGCACGGAGTCGAACCCCGGCTACCCGCTGATTTGTTTTTTGGGGTCTAAGTCACAGCAATTCATCGTCCACTACACGGACTCCTTCCCAGTGCCAGAACCTTGATTAGTGAGGGGCTTGCGAGTTCAACAAGATAAAAGGAAACTCGGCCAACGAACTTCGACTTCGGGCGCGGGGAGTCGAACCCCGTCCAACTGCTTGAAGCCCGCATTGCTTTCAAAGTAACGCAGTGGTGCGCCGTGCACCACACCCGATTCCTTCATAGCCTGTAAAGCTGGGGAAGTCAGCTCCATTGCATAAAGTCGGACGCAAGCGATACAAAAGAGTGACGGCCCATCTATTCGGGTGCGGGGAGTCGAACCCCGTCCAACTGCTTGAGTTTAACCTTTCACGAAAGGAACGCAGTGGTGCACCGTACACCACACCCGATTTCAGATGGTGTATGTGGATCTGGGTGAGTACACTCTGTTTGGGGGGAAAACCTGGCTTCAAACGACTAGAAACTTGCACCGCCATAATTTGTTTTGGGTGAACGTCCGTTACAGCGGTTCCACACCCATCTATTCCGAGGGACCGAAACTGGATAAGTGCAATCACGGCAAGGTAGAAAGAAAGAAAAAGATGGCATTCGGGCGCGGGGAGTCGAACCCCGTAAAACTGCGTAAACCCAAATTACAAATCTATCTCAAATAGTGCAGTGGTGCACCGTACACCACACCCGATGCTTCCTATCCAGTTGTTGAATGTTCATAAATAACCCACTGGATCCCCTGAGCAGACAATTACTACAATAAAGACAAAATCAATGGCGCGATCAGCAAGGCACAGGATTTCGGGCGGACCCGAGTCCCGTCAGACTATGCTGCTGAATCTGAGTCTGCTCATAGAGTAGCGCGCAAGACTAGCAGGAGAATGGGTCAACTGCGATGGAGATTTACGGCGGGTCAAGAGATGGAACCGACGTCGTCGCGGTGGTCCGCCAATGACCCAATATTTAAGCTGAAGGTGGCACAGAGAAGGGGAGCGATTTGGGCCTTCGATATGCACAAGAACTTCCAGGGAGAGTCCGATGTTGAGTTTTGAGACGTTTCAGACAAGCAAGCCGGTGAGTTATCATGACCAGCAGTACAAAGCAAAATAAAGCAAGAGGTTAGATCAACTTTCAGCGAAAGGCGTTGAAAGCTCCAGTGAGGTGAGAAAGAGTAGCTGTGATAGCGCAGAGGAGATGAGATGTGGACCACGGGCGAGATGGTGGTGGAAGAGAAGAAAGAACGAGAACACACGGAATCGGCCGACGGGTCCGATTTCTCCCGGATCCTGAAAAGGAAATTGCCTCTCTCCCGAACCACACCTGCTCTCCTCCCGTTCTCCTACCTAATATCTGAAGCGGCTCGCCGGCTTGGATGCAGCGGGGCGTTAGGAATGCTGGTGCGCCTCTTGGTTCTGAGGCTGATTTTTGGCGTATTTCCCTCACCAGCTCCAGACTCCAGTATGAAACCGCGTGTCGACAGTGAATACGACAAAGGCTGGGACGACAATAACTCTCCTTAGAAGTGCGGCGAGAAGCCGATGAGCTACATGTGCGTTGTCGCCTTTTTCAGAATCTTCTTTTTCCCCCCAACTTGAATTGCCAGCAATGTGGTGCTGCGATGCCGCGCGCCGATGGCGAGAATACGCTCCGTATAACCTGCTGCGGAGCGTGTGGTGCGGCAATGGCATTCCCCCGCGCCCGCCCGTGCGCCGATGTGGCGGATGTGGCTCGTCCGTCCGAGCGACCCAGTCCCATATCATGCTCGTGCACGCGGATGTGCCACCGTCCCTGTACACGGCCACCTCCCCACTCCCCTCCGTGCCCTCCGTCCATCGCACCATCTCTAACACCGGCCCCACAGGCCGCTCGAGGTGCGCACACATCCTTTGTGCGCCGATGATCACGACGCCCACACCCTCGTCCCGGCATCGATCTCCAGGTGCGTCGTCCCCCGCCCCGTTCGTCATACCGTTAACGCCGCTACGTTGTTACTCCAGCTCGACGTGGCAGCTTCTGACGCCATAAGTATGCTCTGCCGCGCACCCTCGGGCTACGGATGGATTGATCAGGCCGATCGCCTGGAAGGTGCATCCTCCGCCCCCGGCAGCGCGCAGAACCCGCAGGATGCAGGATGCGATTGGGTGCGGGCGGCTTCTGCGCCGGCATGCATGTACGCAAACGGGGAGGGACGTCGTGCGCATCCTGCCCTCTGCCGTGCGCGTCGGAGCCGGTAGCGGCGCGGGCAGTCGGTGTAGCGCGTCCGTGGGCGCGCTTGTGGAGGGATGGCCCGCGCGGTGCGCGGTGCGGGACGAGCTTACGCTGGCGGCTATCGTGGGTCTCGCCGTTGTGCGCGCGGTGCTCTGATGTCCCCCGCGCGCGGGGCTGCCCTCCTCCCCGCCGCGCGGGATAATCCGGCGCTGCGGAAGGGGCGGCGGGACATGGTGCCCACGGGCGTCGTGCGCTGTGGCGGCGAGGAATACGTGGCCCACACGCGGGATGCTGCAGGGGCGGAGAGGTCGTGTGTGTTTGTGCGTCGGGCGTGTCGTGGAGGTGTAGACGCCGCGCGCGCGCGTGTTACTGCGGTGGGCCGGGGCAGGCTCGCGTCGGGACCGATCAGGCGATGGGGATCCTCGGAGCGCGTGTGGGGCCGCGTCTCTGCGGCGGGTGCGTGCATGGGGGGAGATCATCGTCCACGGCGCAGGGGATAGGCGACGTAGATCAGGCGGCAGTCCACCGTGGAGGGCTGGGTGTCTGTGTACGTCCCCCTGCGGGAGGTGCCCATGGCGGCACCGGCGTGCGGATGTGTGCTGGGCAGGGCGCAGTGAATGTAGGTGCATGCGGGCTGGCGTGCGCGGGCTCGTGCGGGGTGGTTGGCGAATCGATGGGATCACGGTGAACGCAAGGAAAGCGGCGCTCGCACGGAGTAGCGTTGCGTGTGCGGGTGCGGCTGCCGTTCTGTGGAGTGCTTTCCGCTGCGCGACGGCGATGGGCGGGCATAGTCCCTTGCCCGCGTGGATGGCATTAATCAGTCGCGCGCAAGCTACTGCTATCTTTCGGGTCGCACGCCGTGCCCCGTGGGTGCGTACTTGTCGTGGGTCCGTACTGCGAACGGGCTCGATGAGGATGGGTGTGACCGTGCGGCTCCGTTCTTGTCCGGAAATCCGACATGTCTCAAGCGTACCGGCGTCTCCCCATGCATCGTAATCTTCCTGTCACGCCGTCCGAGCACGCTGCAACAGCCGCTGATATTTTGACTAAGGTGGGACTTCGGGGAAATTTGCCGTGTCGATGATTTCTCAGACCACATTAAAAGCCGGGTCTTTCATTCTCTAATTTGCTCCTGCCCAAAACGGGTGGAAGTTGGACCATTCCTCACCTCTCTTACCCTGATGGTTGCTCTGTCAATGACGGCATCTCCTCTTCCACTGTCACCGGCCCCAATGCCGAGTTTATTAAACCATAACAGACCTTTTTTATGTGTGATTCTGTGCAATCCCCGCAGCCATCCTCTACTTTTATCAAGTCGGGGTTAGCAGTAAGTTGGCAGGCTGATTTAAACATATATGGATATACTCGACCTGCGAATTCAAAAGAGATTCGTCCTTCGAATGAGCAGAACCAAGCACCCACCTCATCCAATCCTACGAAGCCACATGCAATTCAAACTCTCTTCGCTCCTCCTCGCGCTCGCCCTCACCGCCAGAAGTACCCAGGGTGCCGCACCTGTAGTTGAACGTCAGACCTGCTCTGGCCTGCAAAAGCTCTGCGGTGGAACGTTTGGGCCGTGTTGCCCAGGTCTTTACTGCGAGAGCCATTTGGTTAATGGAGTCGGGGTGAGTTTGCGCTATCTTCCGAGGTCAGGCGGAGCCAATTAACGTTTCGTAGGCATGCGATGCACGAGTTCATGGCTAAAGGAAGGAAAAGCAGAGAAAAGGATCGAGAATTAATTGTGGCTCGGATTAACGGATGGATACGTGCGCTATGTACATTATCGTATGGTTTTATTTTTTATTTTGCCTACGGTCGGTTCCTCGAGGCGCGCCGTCCCAGGGTGTTCGGGATAGAGCGGCTGAAGGCTTGATGTCCGCAACATCATGCATCCTGCAACACGTTAGAAAAAAATTAATGAGATCCGGTGAAACGGATAGACTCGTTACCAGTCTGCCGTACGGAATGCAACAAATGTGGCGAGCACTATTGCCGTAGGCAGACTGGTACTTCTCGGGATTGGCAATTGAGTGGGGCGGGAGTTTGAAATTTTTGATGGCGGTTCTTCTGGCCTTGGATCTGGATGTTTTCAAAAAATGCCAAACCTACGGAAGGCTTGAAGCGCGAATTCCAAGATATCTGTCTCCTCAGATTTCTTCTGGAGACTCGTGCATGGGTCGAAGCGACAACTGGATTTACAACCGAAATGATTTGATGAGTTGCGATGCAGTGCATGGCTATCCGGAAAATCCCTGGATTCCGGTTGAAGAGAATGTGGTCTCAGTTCCTCGGAAGTACAGTAGAATCTGAAGTGAGCGCATACGATAATTGCATTAATTTGAACCTATAGCTATTGATAATGAGTCTTGAGGTGACGCTGGCGAATGCTGGCTCTGGTCTGGTCGGGATACTTGAGAAAGCAGAGCACTGATGATTCCTCTCCTCGAGCCTCGTGGCAGTGGGCAAGGATAACAGTTTGGTGGCGAACAGGTCAAGTCGGTTAGTTGCATGGACAAAAGAACAGAAAAACCTCGGCATGAGGAATTGCAAGCATCGACTCGGAAGTCGAACTGAGTGAGTCGAGGACGAAGTGAACTTGTATATCAGACTGACAAGTCTCAAGTTCAACTTGAATTGTCAGTCAGTCGGGTCATATGCATGGAGAATAAATGATGCAAACCGCATGAAGATAGGAGTGCCACCCGTGACCCATGCCCGTGACGGCAACGGCCGTGAATTTAACGGGTCGACTCTGAGGAAGTGCCTGTCAACTGCCCTTACGGCTGTTAACGCTCACCTGCCCTGGCTTTTGCGCCGTGTGTAGCAGACGGCAAACGCCACCGACAATCACCGCGTTGTACAATATAAGTCGGAGGTCGTAAGTATCGGAGGCTTGATTCTCACCAGTGGACGTTCTACTTTTTTCAAGACAGCCCAGGGAATATGTGTTAGAGGTGGTTCTGAAACGAAGCTTGACGTTATTTTGGTCGAGGAATTGCGCGTGAGGAAGGACGGCAGTGGCTTGGCAGTGCCTTCGCGAACCTGGTGAATTCGAATTAAGCCTGTCCCCCGTGTCTTTTCGGCGTTGTTTCGGGCCAGAGATATCCTGATGACCGCGCAGGAGTGCTACGTCATACCTGCTGTTCCCCGACAGTACTCCACTCTCTCATGAATTTTCGACAGCTGGAAT